GTAGAAATATGCGATTTTAAATCAATTTTAATAATGCCATTTGCATCTTTGGTGATATTTTCTAATCTATTTTGAAAGTAAAGAGACCTGCATTTCAAAATTGCTGAATGGGCCTTAAATTCTCTTATGTCCGTAGATTTTCGAGCTTTAATAATCACGTTGAAATCATTTCCTTCTTCAAGAAGTTCAATATAATTATTTGAAAGTTTTTCAAAATGCTTAATTGCCATCTTTTCCCGTTAAATATTGAATGTACGTACGTACGTATGAACATAAAATAAGAAAAGCATAGTAATACAAAATATTAGCCAATTACCAAATCAAGCTCGAATGTAACGAGGAGATTCTTTCCTTGTTAGAAAATCAGATATCTATTAAAGTTACATTATTATCTATAATTCGTTTATGAATCGTTTCATGAAACCGCATAATTAATTATAATTCGTTGTATTTGATTGGTCAATTGCTTTTATTAGCTGTAAATTTCTTACGAAGTCTCATAATGTTTATAAATCATTACGTATATCACCTATCGGCGGATTGAAAAAATTGGGCCTAATTTTATGTCACTATATGGTGGCTTAGCAAATGATTATTGGTCACCGGATCACTTGAAGTTCCGAAAGACTTCAATACGAAGAAACTCAGTAACCCATCAGTTAGTTATAGGGTAAGCGACTGAGTTTAATAATATATTTGTTATTATGTCCGAAAATAACTTTTTTATTGTAAATTACACTGTTTAATTTTTAATATCATCAATTCTAACAATGTCAACTTTAAACATATCTCAGAGTGACTTAGAATGTAAATTATGTAAAAAGATTTATAAATAACCTTCAAGCTTAGCTAAGCATGAACAATTAATTCAAGATGCTAATACTATAAGATCAATTATGTATGATTTGCCTGAAGAGGCCATTGAAGAAACATGTAAAATATTAGTTTATCATATAAAAGAGAGACTAAACCAACATTCAAAATATGCTGGAAATGTTTGCATTATAATTAATTGTACAGAAAGTTAGTTTTTTGGTGACTTTAAAGGATATATATATAATTATTATTCAAAAACAGGGTTATAAGTGTATATTTAAAGGTATTGATTCTTATTTTATTTTATCTCAAATATTGAAAGATGATAATTGGGGTACTAAATACTTTTTGCAACATTAAAAACATGTGTTTTATTATACCAATTGCCATTAAGTTTAAATAAATCCAATCCTTTTCAAGAACCTAATTCTTATTAAGAATTTAATCCTCTTCAAGAATCTAATCTTTTTCAAAAATTTGTTTCTCTTTAAAAAGTCGATTCTCTTCAAAAATTTGATCCTCTTCAAGGTAATAGCAATTATAAAGTTAAAAAATTAATTTTTGTTAAGAGTTTAGTTTTCTAATTTTTTTAATAAAATTTAATTATTTCAAGAATCTAATTTGATTCAAGGATAAATTTTTTATGTGAATTTAATTTATTTCAAGAATTTAATTATTTTAAGAATTAAATTCTTTTATAAACATAATTTATTTTAAAATTAAATACTAGTATTAAAAAAAAACTTCATAAGCCAAAACCTATTCAATTTATTATCAGGTAAAAAAAAAAATAAAGTCTGATATACAGTTAGACCTCGTTATAGTCACTCTTAAAATAATCACAACATTGTTATAATCACACTATTTTTTTGACCTAGCTATTATAAAACTTATAAATTTTGATCTTTATATAGTTACAACTTTTTATAATTACCAAAATTTTGTTTCACAACCTGGTGATTATATCGAGGTCTGACTGTATGTGATATTACTTATTTATTAGAATTTATTTTTATAAATTTTATTATTATATATTTAAAGATTACAGAACATTTTTAATTGTTATTATTTATAATAAAGAAATATTTTAGCATATTTATATATGTAGTTTATTACAATAATCAATAAATCTATTAATATTATTTGCTTTAAATTTAATATCTAAGTTTATTTAAATGCACAATTGCTTTGGTATTAAAATTAAATTAATTTCATTGCAATTAAAATATAAAGTTCTATTTTCATATTCAAGAATATTTATAATTGCTGATTTATTTCCTTTTTTACTATCTTTTGTTGTTTTTTAAAAAACCAAAAGACTTGTTGATAATTTTTCTTTTCTATAACTAAACAAGAGAATACAGTCAGACCTCGATAAAATTACCAGGTTAGAAAACAAAATTTTGGTGATAAAAAGTTGTGACTATATAAAGGTCAAAATTTATAAGTTTTATAATAGCTAGGTTAAAAAAATAGTATGATTATAACAAGATTATAATTATATTGAGAGTGACTATAATAAGATCTAACTGTACTGCTAAACCAAATTTATAATAAATATGTATTAGTTCTGAAATATGATACACCAATATATGTATATATAGTGTTATATTATTTGTTTAATAAAAATTTGATTCTAAAAACTGATATAGCAATTTTATATATTTTTAGAAAATTAGTATTAGAATCTTTTATTATTTTATAAAGCAAATAAAAATTGTTTTACAAATTTTGAATTTGAGTTGCTCAAGAATATAAAAATAATTTAGTTAAATTAAAATATAGCTAATTTATTTTGGCCTATTAGTGAAGTATTTTGCTAGTAATTTAATTTAAGTCAGAAATAATATTTAACACCAATATGTTTCATTTTTTCAACTATTACATCTCATGCTTTATTTTCTTAGATATTTCTTTATTTAAGATTATCAAGTACTAATCGCTAAAGAATATCAGTAATATGTAATATTATATGTAATTAGTCTAAAACCCAATTTTGTAAAAGAATCATATTAAAAAGTTCTGGTTTAATATAGCCATTATAAAATTTATAATTTGTGCAAATTTGATTTATAGTTTTACTAATTGTCTATTTATATAAAAAATACCTTGTTGTTTTTTAGAAATTTTACACCATGGGCAAAATATCTACTATTTGCTGCATTCATTCCTAAACAAGTTGCAAGAAATTTCTAATCAAATGAAAAATAAAGTTCTATTTTCTATTTTATATTCTGATTATCAATTAATTCATCTTCTTTTAACTTTTTAATTCTTCAATTAAATACTATAGTGCAATATATAATGAATATAAAATTATAGTATAATGATTTTCTGGTTGTTGCAATTTGTCTTTATTATTAAGAATTGAAAAAATAAGCATTACATGCTTTATTTTTTTTTCAAATATTTCTTCTGTCTTCAGATATGCTTAAATATATTATAGGGTTTGTTATAACTAATATGTTTTTTTCAACAAGTCTTAGTATAAGGTATTTTAAAATATTAGCAATACTTCGTTTTTCACCTTTTCCAATTATTGATTGTATATTATTAATTATTTCTATATCATTAATATGAATTTCTGAATTTATAAAATCATCTAATAATGATGATACTAAATTAATAGTTGAAATTAGTATAGCTTTATTATTTCATCAGTAATGTTTTTTCTTTCTAATGCTACTTTCCATTCACATGGCTAATTGAAGCTAAAGTATGATATCCTTAAAATGTAATTTGACTTTTATCACAAGCTTTAACAATTGCTTTTGCTTTATATTTATTGTCATCATTGCTCTTTTCATTAATATCAAAGTAGAAAGATTTACAAACTCAATTGATTTTAATATAAGTTCATCTTCCAAATAACAATTCTTATTTGCTACTTGATCAAATACTGTATAGAGTTTGCAATTTTTTAGCTCGATTTTTTGTCTAGTTAAAGTTAATTATTAAATGATTTAAAACTGTCATTTGTCTTTTATTATCTCTCATTTGTTGAAGTATTTCTAATTGAAGGCCAAATACTTATGGACCTGAATAACGGGTTTTTGTCTCTGGATCTAAAGCCTATTATAAAATAATATATTTTAACATTAAACTATTATTAAAATTATTAATTAGTATAATAAATTTTATTGTACCTTAGAATACAGACTTGCCGCATCTGAACATAACTTTTCAGATTTAATATAAAATTGATACTTGTGTCCATAATATATATAATAAACAGGGTTCTTGTCTATATATTTGATTATACACCTAACTAAATGTTTTTTATTGGACTTTCTCAACTTGACTCAACTTCATATTTATCAGGAATTCGAAATCCATTTTTGCGCTGTGTATATTTAAGATAAGTAGCAGGTGGATATCTTCTTTAATAATATTATAAGTATAACTTCGTCCAGTTTCTGAATATTCAATAACAGATTTCTTAGGGTAATTATGAATTTCCTTTCTTTTTTTTTAATTTGTTGACTCATTTGAAATAAATAAAGATAAATTACTAATATCGATTATTTTTATACATTGAATATTTATTAAATTGATTGATACATTTTATGATTTCGGAAAATGAACTTAAAATGATTCCAAAAAAATTGAGGGACTTTTCCAATTAGCCGATATGATAATCACAACATTCCCATCAAAATTTTCGCGCTTGCTACATTTGGATATTAATAATTCCTACAATCTTTTATTACATTTATAGATCAAACTGAAATCCTAGATTTATGCAACAAATATATAAATTTAAATCTTAATCATACGGAAATCTGACCTGTAATTTGATAGAACTAATTTTATTAGTACAGTAATTTCAATATTTAAGACGATTTTTAAATTCTATAAGTCTGTAGAATTGAAAATAGCTTCGAATATTGAAAATAAATGATGAATTATCAAGATATCTCTACTCAAAGTTTGTGGATATTTAGATAAAATTTTTCTTATTGTTTGGTCAATTAACCACAAGATTGAATATACAAACTAATATACTAGGGAATGAAATATGATTTTTTAAAGATTTCTGAGTGATAGACGATCAGTTTATGATCACAACGATAGCTTTCTAGTTCTTTATTTAGATTTCTTATAAATTTGAAATACTTCATATTCGTTTACAAAATAATATTGGTTAGTATTAGGTGAACCAATACCAATTTGGTTTTCAGTATATTTACTATCATAAAAAGTAAAGCAACCATTATTTTGCCGATTGTCATTACCCACAAACATAGCAAGAGCAAAATTATGAAAATGTATACCGTAATAAGGATCACAATAAATAGCATATTCTGGATTTTTAACACGACTTAAAATAGAACTCTGGACTGCACCATTTTTTAATGAAAAAATAAAGCTATCTTGGCAATTAACGTAATCACTTTTACTATTATCCCATGCAACTGGACTATATCCACCAAGAATTCTTTCAATATTATCATTACCTTTCACATTTATAACCGTAACAGTATTCGCTTTCATATTACATATATTCCAAAATGATTCACGGTTAAATCCCCACGAATAAGTAGTTTAAATTCATATGGATTATTTCTTATACTATATGCAGTTGTATTTTTATCAATCCATGATGCAATTTCAGCTGCATGTTCTTCATTCATAACGGTTGAAAACGGTTCGGTTGACCTAGTTGGTAATTCTGATCTTAAAATAATACGAGGTTGTAGAATTGTTGAAGTAACTTCATGATCAGGTAATAAAAGATTTTTAATCAGATCTTTCCAAAGTTTTTTTTTCAAGAATTTGAGAATACGGAAATACATAAGTTGCGACATCTTTTCCAGACATTTCGAAATAACGAATATGAGGTAAACAATTTTTCAAAGTAACCTTCAGAGCCATAAAATTTTCATCAGACCAGTCTTCAGGGTCAGAAGGTAAATCAGAGTTTTGTGCAATTCCCCAATTTATAACATAATTCCAAATCTTTATCTCTTCCATTTGCAAATCGTCACGCTTAACAAGTGAAACCAATGCATTTTCATTAAGAGAATTAAAATCTTCAGAGTCAAAAGCGATGTTTGGATGTTTAGCTAAAATGTTGTTGCACCAATTTTTGTAATTCTTATTTTGAAACCATGTCTCGTAGACATTAGCAAAACGAGAGCGTAACCAGTGGAC